CGTCTTTGTCAAATTATGAAAATCTTTGGTGTTTTGGCAGTGAGAAGGTATCGAAATGCACATTACAAGGTCAACTGCTAAGAAAGTTGGTTCACTGTATTGTGCAAGACAATTTTTCTCTCCAGAATCTATCTTACATATCTATAAGTCTACAATTCGTCCATGCTTAAAATATTGCTGCCACATATGGTCCGCTGCCCCTGCTATTTACCTTTAGCTCCTTGACAAAATCCAACGAAGAATCAGCAATATTATTGGTCCTGATCTGGCGGCTCAGCATCAGTTCCTCTCCCACCGCCGGAGCTCTTTGCTACGGTACCTAGACTTTTTAAATTTAAGTGCAGTATTAAACTGTCGTCGTGATCTCATCAATTTGCAGTTAAGCTGGCTAGAGGCAGCCATGAATTCTATGTTAACAGTTTCACTTCTCGCACTTCTCGCAGGTGGAATTTCTTTCCGGTCTCATGCTTTCTAGCCAACTTTAATCTACAAAAATTTAAATGCAATGTCAATCGCTACTGTTCTCCTGATTACTATTTTTTCTTTCCACTCATTGTTAATGTTTCTATTCCTAATTCTTCCACATTCTGCAACCTTTTTTGTTTTAGTGCTTTTACTATCTTGCATGGAGTGATACCGATTAAAAAACAAACAAAAATATGAGACAGATCAGTCGTCCATCCTTTAAAAGAGATCTATAAGAAAAATCAAATAAAAAGACAAACAAAATGCATGAACAATTTATCAATCGTTCTTTCCCTCAAAGCCGGTGTTAAAATATCAGCTCAGGTGTACATTGATTTTTTGAAGGCAAACCTAAAGCTACGGTTTAAGAAGAAGCCAAATGCTGGTCAATACATATTTTAGTGCAAAGATAGAAACACCCTTTCTTGGCTAATTTGGAGGCCCTGAATTCAAAAATGATGGCCATTTGTTTCATAATAGTTACCCTCTTTCTCTGTACATAGATGTCTCATTTTGGCAATCATTTTCATTTTATTCCATTTTGTATCGAGTCAATTCACAGTTTTCAGATTAGAAAATGAAAATTTAAAATCTTACTCAACTCAAACCAATCATTATTAGTGATAAGTAATCTGATATCTCAATGATGCAGATGGCTCAATAAAAAATGGAATTCTTTCATTGGATTTTACCGTAGCCTGACCATTTTTATAATTAACTAACAATCCGATGAGCTGCTTTCGCTGGTTCCCAGACTTCGTGAATTTAATCATTCAACTAGGCTGGCATCTCGCTCTCACCCTTCACTGTCGAAACTGTTAAATGTAGCCGTCTCTTCTACTCCAATAGCTTCATGTCTCGCACTTCTCGCCTGTGGAACTCCCATCCCATTTCTTGTTTCCCTGATAGCTATAATCTCCAACAATTCAAATGTAATGTCAATCGACGTCTCCAGATGCCTTGCTCTATCCCCTATCCTTCTGTTCATCCTTTCCTCTATCACTCCTATTTGCTCCTGCTCTAACTCTCTGTAACCCCTTGCGTGCTAGTGGCTTCCCGCCTTGCTTGGGGGTGAAACGCTTAATATATATATATATATATATATATATATATATATATATATATATATATATATATATATATATATCATCACATCGGTATTCAAACTATTAAAGGCTATTTATAATCAAACGATTGATATTCATATCAGCCCTATGCCCATGAGTGTATTTTTGCATATATCACATAATTATAGACATATAAGATAGGTTTAGTGTTTTATAGGGGTTTATTGAATTTCGTTGATATATAATGTCATGATAAGTATGTATTGATGTAAAAAATAACGTCTTTTTTTTTTTACTTCGTATCTAAATACAATGTTATTATCACACTTTGTTTTATTTCTAGATCTTAATACGAAGGCGATGATTTCAAGCAGAGGATATAAAAAACAATCCCGATTTCTTCTGTGATGTGTTTACAACAAAGAATAACCGATTAATGATTTTGTCAGAAAGGCTTATCGTGATTATTCGAAGCGGTGCCGAAACGATCAGGACAAATCGTAGGCAACACGTATTATTTGCAAAAGATGTCAGGACTAAGGGAACTCGAAATTTATTTGTTTGACATTCAGTTGATATGGCGCGAGTCATAAAATCACATTGACTCTTCTACTTAATTGATATTATTAGCCTCAGGAAGAAGAAGCGAAAATCTGGGAACTGTCCTTTTCTCGATTCAGCTATCTGACCTGTACCAATACATTATTTAATTTAAAATGTTTTAATTGCTTTTATGAATAAGATATATTATGGAAACTATTGGCTTAAGAAAAAAATCGATGTATAATGAATTTTTACAAGAATTTTTTTCAATTTTTTTTCATTTTTATTTTCATAATTTATAAAGTTGTAAATCTTTTAAAATTCTGTATTAATTTATACCGGTTAGGCGATATTGTTATTAAGTAAAACCTATATTTTCTAATAATAAATAGAAAAGGTCATTAAAATTAATCGAATACAGTATTTTAAAAAGAATTTTGAAATGTTTTGTTTGTTTATAAACGTGCCAATTTCTGTAAATACGGGCATACATACAAGATATTATTAGAAAATTAGAGCGGTTGCTATAGTAAATTTAAAATTATTGGTAATTTTCTAACATTTTTTTTAACAAGCGTCTTCCTAAGTAAGAACATAAAGCCAAAGTACTTAAAATACAATAAAATACTAGATTATTTAAAATATTTTTATAATTTTAAGATTACTGGGTAGTTAAAAAAAAATATTTAAAAAATACGCTCACGTTATATTCGTTAAGCAAATTTTACAATTGTCTCCCGTAGAAAACATTCCCAAACATAAGTATATCGAGATACGTGTCAATGATTCATAAAAACACCCACCTCCATGTTAAAAAAGATATTTTCTGCGATATTTGAAACTAAAACTACGTAATATTTGTTTCAAATCAAATTAATTAATCTTTAAATCATCTATTCTTCCTCAAATAAACTCTAAGGAATGTATTTGTATTTTTGAAAGCTTTCTTAATAAAAAGAATCATTTGTGTTAACAGATTCGCTGATATAGCTGTTTTACCAATTTTATCGATTTTAAAAAATAATTCCAATCAATCTAAATCGGTTTGAAATGCAGCAAAGTATTTTGCTTATTAGAAATATTAAATTTAATTTATTACCTTGGAATTAGAACTGAAATAAAAGCTCCAAGAAAGATTTTTCTTTTTTAAAATAAATTTTAGATATCCCTTTAATTTGGAGGTACCTATAGCAAATGAAGTTTTCTTTATCAAGAGGAACGCCTGTGGCCAAATTAGTAACAGCACACTTCGGCTGTTTTTTTTTTTTTTGGTATCAGGAGGAATATTTTACTTTTGTCGTTTTATCTGCCTTCTTGTCAATGTTTTTTCTCCTCAACTTATAAAATGGCATTACCTCTACTTGAAACATTCAATGCCTATTATTTAAATCTTTAAACTTTTTTGACTGTGGTCTCTTCGCTTATTTATAGTGTTTGTTAACTTTCTGACTCCTTATTTATTATTGCTTACTTTTTTATTTGTTGTTATTTTCATATTTATTTGTGTTTATGTGTGCATTCGTAGCTTGCCAATTTGTTAATTATTTATTTAATTCGTTTCCTTATTTATTGATTTAGACTTTTTGTTTATTTTATTTATGTATTTATTTATTCGTATTCGTTTTTATTTTGCGGTTTTTAAGTCACGTAGTAAACATTCATTTTCGTGTCTGCATTTTGAGATGAGTTCTGATCGTTAATTTAGTAGTTTGTTTTGGTCTGGGAAAATAATTATAATTATTTTCTTCTCCAGACAGAGTTTACAGTTTTGAGATTCATTGTTGTAGACTAATGATGTTTTCCTTATTTTCCAAGGCATTTTGATGTGTTTTTTTAATCTCCCATATATGTTTAGAAAGCATTGTGCTATTCGCGTGTTTACTATTTGTAAAGGATTTTTTGTGTAGGTATTTTCTCAGTTTGCATTGTCCTTCAGTTACTCTTATGTATATTTTTTTCTTCGTTATGTGCTGATTTTACAATGACTTGATATATTACATTGTTGTTTAAGGGCCATTGGTTCTTTATTCTTCAGTTACACGTGTGTTTAATTTGTGCGCTGGTTATTTTTCTGTTGTCCTTTTTTTATTATTTGTGTCATGTTCTCGGTGCAACTGTAACTGATATTTGATGTTTTCCTGAATATCTTGTAAAGATTGCTTGATGAGGGAAAGTGTGTGTGTGTATGAGTTTAATGAATATTTTTCCTAAGTTTACTTTTACATTTTTGCTGTACGGTGGGTTGAAACATAATTTTCTTTTCCTGGTGGCTTTTTGTGGTGTGTGGTGTGTATGTGAATGTTAACAAATCGCTAAAAAACAACACTAATAACATAATAAATATAAATGATACAGTTTTTTTTTCATTTTATTTTTATCGAAAATTTAAAAAAATAAAACGTGACCAAATTTTTAAAAAAATGGGCGTATTTTCAATATGAAACATGATATAAAATATTCAGAATTAAGTTCTCTTTTATTATTACAAAAACACGGCACCATACAGGAGCAAAATAATTATCGCTGATAGCTGGCAAAGGTATTTTTCAATGTAAACTCGCATACAAGCAAATAAAAAGTGTAGAAAGGCGAGCAATTGTGAATTTAAAAAAGTATGGAAAGGTATTTTATTTTTAATTCGGGTAATCTTATGTGTTATTGCAAAGAAAAGAGGCCTAGAATAGACAGGTAAACGCAAATAAAAAGTGCAGAACGGCGGGTAATCTCAGCCGAAAACCTCAATGGTCTGTGAAAATGATAATTCGTAAAGAAGCAACAAACTCATTTAGAAGAAAAGAACAAAGAAAAGAAAAAAACGCAGACGACGAAGAGAAGACTGTTGTTCAGAGAGGAGAAGACTGTTGTTTAGAGAGAGAGGAGAAGACTGTTGTTCCGAGAGAGGAGAAGACTGTTGTTCTTTATTCTTCAGTTTTCCGAGAGAGAGGAGAAGACTGTTGTTCCTGAGAGAGAGGAAGACTGTTGTTCTGAGAGAGAGGAGAAGACTGTTTTAGACTGTTGTTCCGAGAGAGAGGAGAAGACTGTTGTTCGAGAGAGAGGAGAAGACTGTTGTTCGAGAGAGAGGAGAAGACTGCTTGTTCGAGAGAGAGGAGAAGACTGTTTTCTGTTGTTGTTCGAGAGAGAGGAGAAGACTTTTTTATTATTTTGTTTCGAGAGAGAGAGGAGAACAGGCAAAAGACTGTTGTTTAGAGAGAGAGGAGAAGACTGTTGTTCCGAGAGAGAGGACTGTTGAGAGAGAGAGAAGGAGAGAAGGAGAAGACTGTTGTTCCGAGAGAGAGGAGAAGACTGTTGTTTGAGAGAGAGGAGAAGACTGTTGTTCGAGAGAGAGGAGAAGACTGTTGTTTTCCGAGAGAGAGAGGAGAAGACTGTTAGGAGAGAGAGGAGAAGACTGTTGTTCCGAGAGAGAGGAGAAGATCTTGTTGTTTAGAGAGAGAGGAGAAGACTGTTGTTCGAGAGAGAGGAGAAGAAGATTGTTCCGAGAGAGAGGAGAAGACTGTTGTTCCGAGAGAGAGGAGAAGACTGTTGTGAGGAGAAGACTGTTGTTAGGAGAGAGAGGAGAGAGAGAGAGAGAGAAGACTGTTGTATAGAGAGAGAGGAGAAGACTGTTGTTTGTTGAATAGAGAGAGAGGAGAAGACTGCCACGGAGAGAGAGAGAGAGGAGAAGACTGTTGTTCCGAGAGAGAGGAGAAGACTGTTGTTCTGAGAGAGAGGAGAAGAGACTAGTCTGAGAGAGAGGAGAAGACTGTTGTTTAGAGAGAGAGGAGAAGACTTTGTTTACTGTTGTTTAGAGAGAGAGGAGAAGATTGTTCCGAGAGAGAGGAGAAGCTGTTGTACGTTGTGAAGGTTTTTGTTGAGAGAGGAGAAGACTGAGAGAGAGGAGAAATTTTCCGAGAGAGGAGAAGTTTTCAGGAGAGAGAGAGGAGAAGACTGTTGTGGCTTTTTCCGAGAGAGAGGAGAAGACTGTTGTTGTGGTGTTGTTTACTGTTGTTCCGAGAGAGAGGAGAAGACTGTTGTTCCGAGAGAGAGGAGAAGACTGTTGTGAATGTTAAGAGAGAAGAAGACTGTTGCCTGAGAGAGAGGAAAAACAACACTAAGAACAAACTGTTGTTTAGAGAGAGAGGAGAAGACTGTTAAATATAAATGAGAAGTTTTTTTTCATTTTCCGAGAGAGAGGAGAAGACTGTTGTTCCGAGAGAGAGGAGAAGTCTGTTGAGAGAGGAGAAGACTTTGTTCTGAGAGAGAGGAGAAAAAGATTGTTTCGAGAGAGGAGAAGACTGTTGTCCTGAGAAAAACTGTTGTTCCAGAGAGAGAGGAAACTGTTGTTTCGAGAGAGAGGAGAAGACCAAATGTTTTCGAGAAAAAAACTGTTGTTAGAGAGAGGGAAGACTGTTGTGAGAGAGAGGAGAAGACTGTTTTCGAGAGAGAGGAGAAACTGTTGTTACTGTTGTTTGAAACTGTTGTTTGACTGTTGTTCCGAGAGAGAGGAGAAGACTGTTGTTCGAGAGAGAGGAGAAGATCGAGAGAGGAGAAGACTGTTGTTTAGAGAGAGAGGAGAAGACTGTTGTTTAGAGAGAGAGGAGAAGACTGTTGTTCCGAGAGAGAGGAGAAGACAGAAACTGTTGTTCGAGAGAGAGGAGAAGACTGTTGTTTAGAGAGAGGAGAAGACTGTTGTTTAGAGAGAGAGGAGAAGACTGTTGTTGGAGAGAGAGGAGAAGACTGTTGTTCCGAGAGAGAGAGGAAGAAGATTGTTCAGAGGAGAGAGAAAGAAGACTGTTGTTCGAGAGAGAGGAGAAGACTGTTGTTTAGAGAGAGGAGAAGACTGTTGTTTAGAGAGAGAGAGGAGAAGACTGTTGTTTGAGAGAGAGAGGAGAAGACTGTTGTTCCGAGAGAGAGGAGAAGATTGTTCGAGAGAGAGGAGAAGACTGTTGTTTAGAGAGAGAGGAGAAGACTGTTGTAGGGAGAGAGAGGAGAAGACTGTTGTTAGGGGAGAGAGAGGAGAAGACTGTTGTTTAGAGAGAGAGAAGAGAGAGAGGAGAAGACTGTTGTTCCGAGAGAGAGGAGAAGACTGTTGTTCCGAGAGAGAGGAGAAGACTGTTGTTTAGAGAGAGAGGAGAAGACTGTTGTTTAGAGAGAGAGGAGAAGACTGTTGTTTAGAGAGAGAGGAGAAGACTGTTGTTCCGAGAGAGAGGAGAAGACTGTTGTTCCGAGAGAGAGGAGAAGACTGTTGTTTAGAGAGAGAGAGAAGACTGTTGTTTAGAGAGAGAAGACTGTTGTTTAGAGAGAGAGGAGAAGACTGTTGTTCGAGAGAGAGAGGAGAAGACTTTGTTCCGAGAGAGAGGAGAAGACTGTTGTTCCGAGAGAGAGGAGAAGACTGTTGTTCCGAGAGAGAGGAGAAGACTGTTGTTTAGAGAGAGAGGAGAAGACTGTTGTTGAGAGAGAGGAGAAGACTGTTGTTCGAGAGAGAGGAGAAGACTGTTGTTTTGAGAGAGAGGAGAAGACTGTTGTTTAGAGAGAGAGGAGAAGACTGTTGTTATTTTGAGAGAGGAGAAGACTGTTGTGAGAGAGAGGAGAAGACTGTTGTTTAGAGAAGACTGTGTTTTAGAGAGAGAGGAGAAGACTGTTGTTTCCGAGAGAGAGGAGAAGACTGTTGTTTAGAGAGAGAGGAGAAGACTGTTGTTAGAGAGAGGAGAAGACTGTTAGGAGAGAGAGAGGAGAAGCGAGAGAGAGGAGAAGACTGTTGTTTAGAGAGAAAAGACTGTTGTTTAGAGAGAAAGTTGTTGTTTAGAGAGAGGAGAAGACTGTTGTTTAGAGAGAGAGGAGAAGGAGAAACTGTTGTTTAAGAAGACTGTTGTTGAGAGAGAGAGAGAAGACTGTTGTTCCGAGAGAGAGGAGAAGACTGTTGTTTAGAGAGAGAGGAGAAGACTGTTGTGAGAGAGGAGAAGACTGTTGTTTAGAGAGAGGAGAAGACTGTTGTTCCGAGAGAGAGGAGAAGACTGTTGTTTGAGAGAGAGAGGAGAAGACTGTTGTTTAGAGAGAGAGGAGAAACTGTTGTTCCGAGAGAGAGGGAGAAGACTGTTGTTTAGAGAGAGAGGAAGAGAGAGAGGAGAAGACTGTTGTTTAGAGAGAGAGAAGAAGACTGTTGTTCCGAGAGAGAGGAGAAGACTGTTGTTTAGAGAGAGAGGAGAAACGAGAGAGAGAGAGAAAAAGAGGAGAAGACTGTTGTAAGAGAGAAGGAGAAGACTGTTGTTTAGAGAGAGAGAGGAGAAGACTGGTTTAGAGAGAGAGGAGAAGACTGTTGTTTAGAGAGAGAGGAGAAGACTGTTGTTCGAGAGAGAAACTGTTGTTTAGAGAGAGAGAGAAGACTGTTGTTCGAGAGAGAGGAGAAACTGTTGTTCGAGAGAGAGAGAAGACTGTTGTTTAGAGAGAGAGGAGAAGACTGTTGTTCCGAGAGAGAGGAGAAGACTGTTGTTTCGAAAAGAAGACTGTTGTTCCGAGAGAGAGGAGAAGACTGTTGTTTAGAGAGAGAGGAGAAGACTGTTTAGAGAGAGAGGAGAAGACTGTTGTTTAGGAGAGAGGGAACTGTTGTTCCGAGAGAGAGGAGAAGACTGTTGTTCCGAGAGGAGAAGACAGAAGACTGTTGTTTAGAGAGAGGAGAAGAGTTTGAGAGAGAGGAGAAGACTGTTGTTTAGAGAGAGAGAGGAGAAGACTGTTGTTTAGAGAGAGAGAGGAGAAGACTGTTGTTAGAGAGAGAGGAGAAGACTGTTGTCCGAGAGAGAGGAAGACTGTTGTTTAGGGAGAGAGAGGAGAAGACTGTTGTTCCTGAGAGAGGAGAAGACTGTTGTTCCGAGAGAGGAGAAGACTGTTGTTCCGAGAGAGAGAGGAGAAGACTGTTGTTTAGGGAGAGAGAGGAGAAGACTGTTGTTTAGAGAGAGAGGAAGACTGTTGTTCCGAGAGAGAGGAGAAGACTGTTGTTCCGAGAGAGAGGAAGACTGTTGTTCCGAGAGAGAGGAGAAGACTGTTGTTCGAGAGAGAGGAGAAGACTGTTGTTTAGAGAGAGAGGAGAGAGAGAGAGAGAAGACTGTTGTTCGAGAGAGAGGAGAAGACTGTTGTTTAGAGAGAGAGAAGAAAAGGAGAAGACTGTTGTTCCGAGAGAGAGGAGAAGACTGTTGTTCCGAGAGAGAGGAGAAGACTGTTGTTCGAGAGAGAGGAGAAGACTGTTGTTTAGAGAGAGGAGAAGACTGTTGTTTAGGGGAGAGAGAGGAGAAGACTGTTGTTCGAGAGAGAGAGAGGAGAAGACTGTTGTTCTGAGAGAGAGGAGAAGACTGTTGTTTAGAGAGAGAGGAGAAGACTGTTGTTCCGAGAGAGAGGAGAAGACTGTTGTTTAGAGAGAGAGGAGAAGACTGTTGTTTGAGAGACTGTTGAGGAGAAGACTGTTGTAGAGAGAGAGGAGAAGACTGTTGTTCCGAGAGAGAGGAGAAGACTGTTGTTTAGGAGAGAGAGGAGAAGACTGTTGTTTAGAGAGGAGAAGACTGTTGTTCCGAGAGAGAGGAGAAGACTGTTGTTCGAGAGAGAGGAGAAGACTGTTGTTGAGAGAGAGAGAAGACTGTTGTTAGAGAGAGAGGAGAAGACTGTTGTTTAGAGAGAGAGGAGAAGACTGTTGTTCCGAGAGAGAGGAGAAGACTGAGAGAGAGGAGAAGACTGTTTTCGAGAGAGAGGAGAGACTGTTGTTCCTGAGAGAGGAGAAGACTGTTGTAGAGAGAGAGAGGAGAAGAGAGAGAGAAGACTGTTGTTTAGAGAGAGAGGAGAGAGAGAGAGAGGAGACTGTTGTTGTTCCGAGAGAGAGGAGAAGACTGTTGTTCGAGAGAGAGGAGAAGACTGTTGTTCCGAGAGAGAGAGGAGAAGACTGTTGTTCCGAGAGAGAGGAGAAGACTGTTGTTTGTTGTTCCGAGAGAGAGGAGAAGACTGTTGTTCGAGAGAGAGAGAAGACTGTTGTTCCGAGAGAGAGGAGAAGACTGTTGTTTAGAGAGAGAGGAGAAGACTGTTGTTCGAGAGAGGAGAAGACTGAGAGAGAGAGGAGAAGACTGTTGTTCTGTTGTTGAGAGAGAGGGAGAAGACTGTTGTTCCGAGAGAGAGGAGAAGACTGTTGTTCCGAGAGAGAGGAGAAGACTGTTGTTCCGAGAGAGAGGAGAAGACTGTTGTTTAGAGAGAGGAGAAGACTGTTGTTCCGAGAGAGAGGAGAAGACTGTTGTTTGAGAGAGTTGAGAGAGAGGAGAAGAGAGAGAGAGGAGAAGACTGTTGTTGTTGTTTTTGAGAGAGAGAGAGGAGAAGACTGTTGTTCCGAGAGAGAGGAGAAGAGAGAGAGGAGAAGACTGTTGTTTGAGAGAGAGGAGAAGACTGTTGTTTAGAGAGAGAGGAGAAGACTGTTGTTCCGAGAGAGAGGAGAAGACTGTTGTTCCGAGAGAGAGGAGAAGACTGTTGTTCCGAGAGAGAGGAGAAGACTGTTGTTTGAGAGAGAGGAGAAGACTGTTGTTTTCTGAGAGAGAGAGAAGACTGTTTAGAGAGAGAGAGAGAGAGAGGAGAAGACTGTTGTTGGGAGAGAGAGGAGAAGACTGTTGTTCCTGAGAGAGAGGAGAAGACTGTTGTTCTGAGAGAGAGGAGAAGACTGTTGAGAGAGAGAGAGAGGAGAAGACTGTTGTTTAGAGAGAGAGGAGAAGACTGTTTAGGGAGAGAGAGGAGAAGACTGTTGTTCCGAGAGAGAGGAGAAGACTGTTGTTCCGAGAGAGAGGAGAAGACTGTTGTTCCGAGAGAGAGGAGAAGACTGTTGTTCCGAGAGAGAGGAGAAGACTGTTGTTCCGAGAGAGAGGAGAAGACTGTTGTTTAGAGAGAGAGGAGAAGACTGTTGTTGAGAGAGGAGAAGACTGTTGTTCCGAGAGAGAGGAGAAGACTGTTGTTCCGAGAGAGAGGAGAAGACTGTTGTTTAGAGAGAGAGGAGAAGACTGTTGTTTAGAGAGAGAGGAGAAGACTGTTGTTTAGAGAGAGAGGAGAAGACTGTTGTTCCGAGAGAGAGGAGAAGACTGTTGTTCCGAGAGAGAGGAGAAGACTGTTGTTCCGAGAGAGAGGAGAAGACTGTTGTTTAGAGAGAGAGGAGAAGACTGTTGTTCCGAGAGAGAGGAGAAGACTGTTGTTCCGAGAGAGAGGAGAAGACTGTTGTTAGAGAGAGAGGAGAAGACTGTTGTTTGGGGAGAGAGAGGAGAAGACTGTTGTTTAGAGAGAGAGGAGAAGACTGTTGTTCCGAGAGAGAGGAGAAGACTGTTGTTAGAGAGAGAGGAGAAGACTGTTGAGAGAGAGGAGAAGACTGTTGTTTAGAGAGAGGAGAAGACTGTTTTCGAGAGAGAGGAGAAGACTGTTGTTTAGAGAGAGAGGAGAAGACTGTTGTTCCGAGAGAGAGGAGAAGACTGTTGTTTAGAGAGAGAGGAGAAGACTGTTGTTTAGAGAGAGAGGAGAAGACTGTTGTTCCGAGAGAGGAGAAGACTGTTGTTCAGAGAGAGAGGAGAAGACTGTTGTTTAGAGAGAGAGGAGAAGACTGTTGTTTAGAGAGAGAGGAGAAGACTGTTGTTCAGTTGCTTGCAGCTGTTGAATTTAACATTGATTGTCAGACAGTGACGTCAATTCGAATTCACAGTGAAAAAGAAACAAGCGCGCGTACATTGACAATCTTCTTCATCTTCAAAACGGGATACACAAGATTAAGAATCTACTCGTGTGTACTATTCTCTAGCAACACGAAAGATAGTACGTGTGTGTGTGCGTGTGTGCGCGCATGCGCGTGTGTGTGCATGCGTATTCATACTTATGTGTATAAGCGTGTATAAATTTATATATTCATACATGTATTTATACGTATGTGTGTGTGTGTGAGAGAGAGAGAATACATTTAGGACATGTGTGCTTACACCTACATATGTAATTCACGCATACTTATTCATTAATTATGGAATGTATGTTTTCACACATCTATCTATCTATCTATCTATCTATCTATCTATCTCCTCTCTCTCTCTCTGTATGTATGTATATCTTTCATTCTCTCTCTCTCTCTTCCTTCCTTTCTATCTATCTATCTATTTATCTATCTATCTATCTATCTATATATATATATATATATATATATATATATATATATATATATATCATCTTATTAGTTAAATATATTTATTGGATTCACGTATTTGAATAAACATCTGTTATTTTATTATATTTTCTAACAGGAAAATTGACTTCTCGTTTTCACTCTCGCGTGGTCATGTGTGACGTCACGAGCTGCGACGCGATTTTCGCTTCCGCGTCTCGTATAAACGAGTTAATCGTTGTTTTGAAACTTTTCATGCAACAAAAACTGACTATCATTATTGTTTCGTCCGTGTATTGGTTGATATATTGAAAAGTAATTGTCATCTTTGATAATGGCTTATGTAAGCCGAAAGCTTAGATTGGATTTAAACATGTATCAGTATGGTGTTTTCCTTTCGTCTTTCAATGATAATGTTATTAAACTTTATCAGACAATATGAAAGGAACCTACTTAAAATAAATAGACAAAACTTGTCCATATTATTTAATGAAACATGCATTATATATATATATATATATATATATATATATATGTACATCTTTGTCATTTTTTAATGCGTTAGAGTTATCTTCCTATCTTGGCGATACAAAATGTTAGTGCCTTTGTCATATCTACAGCATCCTATAGCAACGTATTTAAGCAGTCGGGTATTAAAAAAACAGATTCTGTGGAAGTGCATATATTTGGAAAAAGTTACGTGAAGAGTCACGTGAAAATCTTCTAATAATGATAAGGATATATATTTATATGTCTGACATAAGGTATTGTAATTATTAACATTATTTACATTGTTCCACGTGCCATGCCTCCACCCAGTGACTTGACCCAAACTGTCGTGAGTTCAATACCTGGCTACTGCAGTAGTCAACAAAAACTTGGAGAGTTGAGTTAAAGAGAAAGAACTGAGACATCCGGAAGAAGCATGGCACGTGGAACTAGAACAGTCTACATCGGTAGACGAAATAAAGGGTTCAGTTCGAAATTCCAATCACCTGAAGAACGTCGTGAATATGACAATAAAGATGAGGACAACAGTCCGAACAATGTAAATAATAGTAAGGGCTTAACAAAAGATGTCTTCATTTTTGTCAGCTTATTTAGAAATGATACTCTGTGAGCCTAAACTGAGGGGCAAATTTTCCTTTGTTATTAAGTAATAAATTGATTCCTTATGACGCCCCCCCCAAAAAAAAACGGCATTTTTTAGCATTCAGCTTATGAACATAACAGTTCGGATTAGTCTAAAAACTGCGCATATTTTAAGCAAGAAAACCAAGAGGCTCGGATATTTTTTAATGCAACTTAAGTATTAATAAATTTATCATTGGGTTACTTTATATTTTTTAAAAGGAAATAAGACACAAATTTGAAAATTGGCAAAGCACGATCAGGTTCAACAAAAATTAACTGATGTTAAAAAAAAAAAAAAGAAAAAAAAAAGCCGTGTAGACGAACAAAAAAGCGATAGCCCTCCGTAATTTCATAATACCATTCTATGTCCCAAGGTAAAAAAAAAAAAAAATGTTTTTCCTTTGACTCAAATATCGTGTGTTGAGCGAATAGATCCCAGACAATAAAGTTTAAAGAACTGAATGACCTTACTGAACGTTTCAAGCAGTTTCGCATAATTAATAACTGAAATTTCTAACTCTCATTAGAGTTACATTTTAAGTATGAAACAAAGATCAAAATATTAAATAAGTCTAAAAACAACAACAACTAATAAACCTTACTATATATTAATATAATTGTTATATAAGAATAAAGCGACGCTGCCGACACTTGAGTTTGAACATAGATCGCCAGTGAGCAAAACACAGGCGATCCCATTATTGAATTAATTAGACCACGTGACCATAGTGGAAACGCATATATGGGAGGCAGCGTGTGTCTAATTGGTCGCATTTCTATTCTATCCTCTATTACTATTCAGATCACTATTTCTAGCCTATCCTCAATACTATATGGATCGCTATTCTCTACGATACTATTCTCTATTCAGATCCCTATACGAGTTACTTTCGAGCGTGTATTAGCGAGCAAGTACTATTAGTGCGAGTACTATTCGAAGGCGTCTGACACCAGCATTGTTTAACGGCGTACTATAGTTGCACCGGCGATTACAAAGTTTCTACTACAATGAACATTACAAAAGTGACAATGAGTATTCGTTAGCATCACAAAAGTGTCAAACGAGTGTTGGTTGACATCACAAAAATAATAATTAGAAAAAATAACATTGACTCACATATGGAAGTCTTATGCTATTAAGGACGTAAGAAAATATCAATTCTATTATCATTTTTGACGGCAAGGGCAAGCTACTTTGTTTTAACGGTCTAGTTTTTTTTTAGTCAGCGTAAAGAAGGGCAATTTACCGTGGGAATTCTTCTGCCAAGTCAATCAAGAATCAAAAATTAAATATGATTGCGCAAGTGTGACAATGTGCTGCCGCCGTATTCTGGGGTGAAACGGATGGTGTTTCTGTCGCTGCTAGCTACGGCCCAAGTGGTGATTTGGATGACGCGATTGGAGGAGGTCTTGCAAGGTGACCGTTGTTCTCATCAGGATCTGGTTCGATGTTTTTAGCATCAGCTCAAGATGAAGATTGAAACTGATGGAGGGCGACTGGTTTCCACAGATTTCAGCGAAGAGTGGGTGACTGGGTTGATCCTGGTTCGCGTGAGCGGAGCTAGACTTGATTTTCTTTTTTAGGTCCACCTAAATCACATCGGGGTGGTTTCCTGTAAAGCCCGCCCCTGGTTGGGATGGACCTTTTTTGTGTACCTATTTAATGTGAGTAGGTGTCGTTCCTGGCCTGTTCCCGGCTTCTGCTTTGGTTATGGTCCAGACTGAGATTCCCAATCGCACCAGTTTGCTTTTGGTCCCTTTTTTCACCTCGACTGGGTCAGCTTTCTTCTTTCCCCATGGCCGTATTTATTTTATCCTTTTCCTCTCCCTTGGTGAAAGAGCCTCTTGATTTTGTCTAAAGGCAGAATACGGAAGCCTCTCTTAATTCTTTTGAGGGTTTGACGGGTTCAAATAACATCAGTTATCCTTATATTTTGCGTATTTGTTTTGATATTTTAGTTTGTTTTGTGGTTCATTCCACCCCCAACGTATCATCTTATAATCGTTAATTTTTATGTCGTGGGGTGTTTTTATAAGTTCCCCAAGAATATGCAGTATTGTTGTATATGGAGGATTGAATGATGATGGATAAGTTCTTTTGGTGGATTTGTAAATTGTAATGAGTGAATGGGTCGTGAATCTGATTAACTAGGTATAAGATAGTAAGTGATGACCAGTTTCTGCCCATTTCCTCTTCCCTATTTTCGGTTTTGTGCCACACTTGTATTTTATATACAATAAATCTAGACACTTAAGGAAAAAAGGAAATAAGTCACAATTGTGTATCTATTATATGACGTATTAAAATGTCTTCGTTTAAAATCTAAGAAACGACAGTTAATCAAATTAAAATTTAATTTTATTAAGTTATATTTCTTAAGAACATATGCAATTCAAGATTTTATAGGAAATTAATTTTGCACCGTCCAATGAATTTTTCTTCTTTCATTTTACAAGAAAAAAAAACTGCATTTTGTCTCACTCGTCTTGCTCAAGTGCAATTCAACAATCACTGCGACTTTTTGTCTAATATTAGGACAATAGTACAATGGAGAACTTAAAAAATACATTTTTCTCAATACAGTCCTTTTGTCTTGCAATGCACCTGATACACATTTCCCCGAATTTGGATATAATCTCGAAAAAAGGATTTTGGTAGATCCATTTGTCATGCATGCATCACGTCTTTCGTATATTGGTCTGTGACCAATGACCTTTTTAAAAGCATCTTTAAGAAGAGGACAAAACAAATGTTTCTCTGAGGTATCGATACTAATACACATCGAATGTTCCTGAAGCGTTTAAACATTGGACACTGCAGTATATGGAATTGCATTGACCTACAATAACAAACAAAAAAATTGATAATATACATTAGCGTTTTATTTGAAATGCTGGTCTAAGCTAGCCTTAGCTGTTCCAAGCTAGTCAGAGCCGGTCCAAGCTAGTCATAGCTGTGATGCTACCAGCGCAGGGACGGATCCCTGTGACTGGTAAGTATCCGAATGTATATACACTTCAAGAGAAGAATTTATACACTCAATGCATTTATACACACTCCATCATATTAAGACATTTTTCCCAAATTGTGCTGAAAGTCTTCGATGTATTTCAGCCCCTGGTAAAACTTTGGTCAACCAATAGAAAAAAAGATCATGACGTTACTTCTTTGTCCAAACTAAGAACTGAGAGGCCATATTTATTCTATAGACGCTCAAAAGTAATTAACTGAACAACGACGAGCGTTCACTCAAGCGACAACTGATATGCCATAACCCACGGACATAAGCAGAAATCGGCCTAAAGAAAAATAAAACAAAAGTATTGATAATTATTGCCTCATCTTCGTATTTTTAAAATTTAGAGCTTAGAATTCAGTAAATAAAATACAATTTCGATCTGAGCATTATAGATATTTGGGGAAACATTCGAAATTGAAACGAAT